TGATTATCGTTATCGCCCACCGTACCCTGTGGGATTTGGATTTTCCTTTGCCTCGTGTAGACAACAGCATTTTCTTTAGTTTTTCCTCGTCCATTTCTGCTGAACTAACTTCTTGGGTAGCAAATATAAAATATGGCGAATCAATGTGTTGTCTGGAGCAACTTAATTAGAACAAAAGATTAAACCGTAAGAATTCTTAATTTTGATAACGTTTCGCTTGAATGATAAAGTCAGGAGAGTACATAGAAAGTGAGCAGATTAAATTGAAACCAGAATATTCTGAAAGCAGATTAGTTGAGCAAATCCTCTTGTAAGTTTTGAACAGATTGCAAAATTTAATTTTTGTATAATAAGCGTCATCAAGAAAATTTACTAAAAATGGACAAAAATCGTTTTTTTTGCGAATTTATCAAATTTAATTTTTGTTTATTTATCGATTTTCACTATGACAATTATTTTTGAGGAAATGAGGGTTCTAAGCCATCGCCAAACCGAAGCAGCATACAATCAGTTAAGTTTCTCCCTCAAAATCACTTTTGACTTGACCTCTTGGTTAAAAAAGCATTCAGCGATTTGGTTATTTGGTTGAAGGAACTTTTTTTCAGGCAGCAAAACGCTTATCATGGTGAACCTCTAGTCACCTATTTCAGTTGCAAAATCGAGATCTTGTAGGTCTAAAATAAATCACAAATCGCAGTTCAAGCCAAAATAACTTGTTCATTTTTGAAGCCCTTTCTAGGTTTGTGGGATTTTCGGCTTATAGATGTGTCTGTTTAGTGGCTTATCTGCTAATCGATGTTTGTCAACTACATTTTGGTTGATAAAAGTGTTAGCTTTTCATCAGCTATTGGTCTTTATAGTCCGAAAACAAGTTGTCTCTATTGAAGTTTTATGATGAAGGGTGCTGTAATCTTTTCATCTTTTGGTGTCTGAACTTTAAGAAAGTTAGCGCAACTGCGTGAGCTAATTGAGGGAGTTGAAACTTGAAACAGGCGAATTAACACTAAATTCTGTGATACCAAGAGACTGTGATACCCCTCTGTGATACCCCTCCCCCCCCCCCCCCAGGAATTCGACCACATGCCGACCCAAAAGGTCCCCTTTGTACTATTTTGAGATATCCATTTTTGGCTGGCTGGCCCTACAATTTTTCTAAGGGTGGCTTCGGCGCCAAACATGCTAATTTTGAGGGGGAAGCGCGCGCCAAAAAAACCCAATTTTTTGGTCAAACTTTTCCAAAAAGTGCCTAAAAAAGCCTTGTTTGGCCCGTTTTTCAAAAGTTTGCGTGTTACACAAAAAATTTGCTCAAAGTTGGGTCTTCATAGTAATTTAGAGGAGCTCAGAAAAAAGTCGATCAAATTTTCGAATTTTTTTGAAAATCCGCCCCCCCCCCTCGAGAAAATCCTAGATCCACCACTGCAAAAAAACCCGACTTTTTAATGGTTTTTCAACTCCAGCTAATCATGTATCTCTTCGAATATGAATACTAAGCCGGATTAAGCATAACTTTTAATCATACATTTTCCATGAATAAAAAGTTGTTTGTCATTTTTTTCCATATAAGCCCGTACGTACATAAAACTTTATGAAATCTCAATGAAAAAAATTTTCTATACATAAAAATTGTAAGGCCATCAATTTTTCCATACTCCACAAACTATTTGTTCCGATCATTGAAACAATGTGGAGGATCTTTGAATTCGGGTGTGTTTTTGTTCATTTTTCTGTGGTTTTCTCTTACTTTTTGTTTTCCACGAAAAGTCAGGTAGCACATATAATAATCGGAGTGGGTCGAATAACATATCATATTCAAGCCATTTCAGTTGTGGGTCGGACAAACTGTATAGAAATTTCAAAATTTTTATTCAGTGTTGAGAAAAATCGATTTGAAAAAAGTTTTTTTTTCGTCTAATTTCGATGAAGTAAAGAGAGCGAGCATGCTTATGTATGGTTGTGCCACACTCTCGTGTATCCTGTAAGACCTTACAAAAACCTGCTTCAATATCTGTAAATTATCGGCAATTCAACAGATAATATATAGAATAAGTAATATCGGTTAAACATTTTTCGTTTAACATTTTTAGCAATACGGTTTCCAACAATCTCAAAAATCTATAACCATTTTGATGGCAAACTGACCTTAATCGGACAAACCAGTAGTTTTCAAGGCCTTTTGTCTAAGAAAATCTAATTTTAGCTTTTTCACTTTCGCGCTATAATGACGTCATTAATTTAAGATTAATTTAAGCGCGAACATCTTCCGCGCTCAAAGGAGCGAAAACGGGTGCGAGTTTTACGGCCGGTCGAGTTAGCTCCCCGGAGCGGGTGGTAACTACGGCGGATCGGGCTATGTTGTCTTTTCCGTAATTAAGGGTTTTTATACGAGCCAGAGGGTAGTGTCCCCTTGGGCTGCGTTCGTCAACAATCCACACTAAATCCCCTGTTTTTAAAATAACGTCACTATCGGAGTGCCACTTCCTGCGTTTATTCAGCGCTGGCACATAATCTCGCAGCCAACGACTCCAAATTGCGTTGGCGTAGCTTTGCGCTCGAACATATTGCTTTCGATGGTCGAAGTGCTCCTGGAAAGAGAGAGAAGGAAAGCTAGTACCATTTCGGCCTAACAAAAATTGATTAGGAGTTAACACCTCGAAACCATCCGGACTTGCACTTACTGATGTTATAGGTCGAGCGTTCAGTGATTGTTCTACAAGACAGAAAGTTGTTTCAAGGACTTCGAGAGTGAGCTTTCTACTTCCTATTATTGCGTAGAATACCCTTTTACAACACCGAACGAGACGTTCCCAAGAACCACCGTGATGCGGGGCTGCCGGGGGGTTAAATTTCCACTTGATACCCTTTTTCGCCAGCTCTGGGGGTGCTTTTCCGTTCCACGACTGAATACAATTTAAGAGTTCTTTCTCGGCTCCCAAAAAATTGGTGCCGTTATCAGACCAAAGGACTGATGGAGTGCCGCGACGGGCAATGAATTTTTCGATTCCCATTACACACGAACTCGTGTCCATGGATGAGACAATCTCAATATGTACAGCTCTGGTGGTCATACATGTAAAAAGGAAGCACCATCGTTTTTCAGAACTCCTCCTGATTGAGACGTAAAATGGTCCAAAGTAATCAACACATCAGTTTGGGAAGGGAGGCTGGCGGTAACCAAGCCTTTCAACTGGAAGCTCTGCCATCATAGGTGTGACAGTTTTGGCTTTGCGCTTCCTACATATAAGGCAGTGGACTTCAATGGACTTTAAAAAAGAGCGAAGGTTCAAGATTGCGAACTCTAAGTGAATTACAGCTCGCAGGTAGTCTAAGAACTGGTGCTGATAGCGATAATGAAGATCACTTACGAACAATTTCACCAGAGAATGCCTTCCATCAAGGATTATGGGGTGTTTTGTGTCATATTCAGTTTCAACTAGGCGGCGAATTCGCCCAGTTGAACGAATGAGGAATGCAGGACCCATAAAGGGTGCATATTGTGCAATACGACTAGACTTTTTGACGGTTTTGTTGCAGGACAGGAGTAAATATTCCGCTTCAAAAGATTCCTTTTGGAAAATCAACAAAAGTAGTTGTTTGGCGGTTTCTAATTCAACATTTCAAGCAAGTTAACTAAATGGATTTACAATTTTTGCAACTTCGAGCCAAAGAAGCATAAATTTCAACAAGAAAAACACAAAAAAAAATCAATAAAAACCTTCGATTTTTTGTAGTTTTTGTAGTTTTTGATTCTCAAATTGGCGTGAAAAAAAACAACAAAAATTGATTATTTTCGAGTAGAATTGAAATAAGAATAGGAAGGCTTTTGTAAAGGGCCTAAAAGTACCATTATTCGCGCTTAAATTAATCTTAAATTAATGACGTCATTATAGCGCGATTGTGAAAAAGCTAAAATTAGCCTTTCTTAGACAAAAGGCCTTGAAAACTACTGGTTTGTCCGATTAAGGTAAGTTTGCCATCAAAATGTTTATAAAAATTAGAGGCCTGCTGTAAACCTTCATTATGGTCACAAGCGGGACCAGCCAGGCGGATTTTCTTAAGTATTTCTATGCTCGGCTTGAAAG